AGAGTTGGTTCCTGAGTGTAGGTAGGTCTTTTGTGGAAAGTTGAGCTTGGCTTTTGGATGAAACCTTCAGTTAAACAATTTGGGAGGTAGGGGTGGAAGGATTAATACAGCTCCTCCAATAATTGAGAGGATGCTGTTCCATTCTTATGGATATTCTGAGGCTGTACTTAAGTTTTGTGGTTTATCACATCACAGATGAAACAATCTTTTGGCTTCTTTTCAGATTCCTTGAATCATTTTTTTCTCCACTGCAAATGTTGAGCCTTTGGTAAATCTTACCACCACTTGAGTGCTAGAGTGAGGAAAGATAATTTCTAAGTTCTCTCCATATAAAACTATAAAATGTAAACATGTTGTCTGTAAATGGACTGTCCTGCTACTTGGAAATGTAGTCACTATGTTGAAGGGGCTGAGGTTTGTCACTAAGACACCAAAGATAATTCTGTCATCATTTCATTTTATAATTCTGGGTCCGATAGCCTCCAAAAACAGCTTCAAAAATGTTGTCATAGATGCCACAAGTCTGCCTGTATTATAAAAAAAAAAAAAAAAAAACTTGGAAAAGATAACGCAATAAAGAATAATGCAGTGAAGAATCCCAGATGCTTTCACAGAGGAACTCTATCCTGAAAGGCTTTTTGTGTAACCTTGTTTAACTTTTTTTGTTTCAGGAACAAGAGGATCCTAATAAGCTTGCTACCAGCTGGCCAGATTACTACATTGACCGCATCAACTCTATGGCAGCAGTAAGTTACCTCTCCTGCACATCAGGGAAGATTTTCTACTACAGAGAACTGTTTTCTTAGGAAGAAGTCCCTGAAGGAGAGGAATGTTAGGCCAAGTATTCGACTCATTTAAAATTGGCCTTGTGAAAAGAGGATGCGTATGTGTATTAAGAAAGCCCTGTTCTAATGAAGAATGGCTTAGATAACAGCATAGGCATTTTTCATTTTTTATTTCTGTGATTCAGAACATTGAAGGCAATCAAATTAGATTCTGGAGTGAAAACTCAGAGCTGGAATAATGAGATGTGATGCCATCTCTATATTTTGGATTTTGAAAGTCAGCAATTGTTCTGTACTAAAGTATGTACTCGCTTGTTCTCCCTCCCTCCTTCCTGCTGTTCTCTTTTTCAATCATATTTAAAGATAGTTCTGAAAAAAATCTCTAAAATAATTTACATGTTTGCTGCAAAGCCTATCTTGGATTTCGGACCTGATCTTTAGATCTCTGTTCTTCGTACAGAACCTGAAAAGAAAATTTTTAAAAAAGTTTCTTGGAAATGAAATAATTTGTTTCTTCAGGAGGAGTTTATGCAGTCTGTAAGTGAGGATATATATTGCTACATGAAATTGCTGGGTGGTGTAGAGTGAGCAGTCAGGCAAGTCCCCTCTTTGCCCTTCAGGATAGAGATATCTGAGAAAACAGAAAAGCAGCCAGTGGAAAGATAGGGAAGGTTTGTTTTGCTGGGTATTTTAAAATTGATTTCTGTGTAATCTGGATAATAACACTGAGGTTAGTTTAGGAGAACAATTAAAGAAAAAGTAGGTGTTTACGTAAGATATCCACTTATATAAGAGCAGATAAACAGAGAAGCATAAGGCTTCAACACCTCAAACATCAGGCTCAAGTCAACCAGATTTTTTAGGACAGATTCCTTTAATTGTCCTTGTTCGCTGGTTGTGCACTGGTTTCTTTGAAACATCCAGTAGAGCTGGTGACCTGCAGAAGGCCATAGCTACCTGCATATAGTGTGCACTAGTCTGTTTTGATATGGTAAATATTAGGTTTTGAATTTCTGATTTTATAGACAAGTTTTGCCTCCAGTAATTTATATGCAATATCTACTAAGGATTTTTGGCAGTTATGCAGAAGTAATGACAGAATTCAGTTCCTAGTATTTTAGGTAATACATCTTGCTTCTTTACTTATCCTTTTATGTTTTGTTTCTGAAACTTCTTTTATATCATGGTTATGAGCTGAAAAATAATTTTGTAAATTAGATGCAATTATATGATTATTAATAATGCCTCAATAGGTGCTTGAAGTATCAACATTTATGTATTTTTCGTGGTGAAATATGTCTTGTTTAATAAGAAAAACAAGATTTTGCAAGCCATTATAATTCAGTGTAAGAGGATAAAAGAAGAGCTGTTATCTATTAAGTCATGCATAAGCAAAATGACTAGTGCCAGTTCCTTCATGCCAGTTTTTCTTGTGACAGAGTGGAGGGATAGAAAGAATATGGGCTGATTTTGAGAAAAGAGCTTTGTGACTGCAAAGCACTGTGCTTTGATTTACTGACTAAACAAATTCATTTTAGCAGATCCACTAACAAAAAATACATATGAAACCTCCCAATCTCAGCAACTCAAATAACTGCTGGAAGGATTTGATCCAAGGCCTCTTCAACCTACCGAAAGATTTCCCCTTGATTTCAGTGGCTTTTGAATTTGTTTTAAATTGATTCTGATGTAAATCTGAAGTGAATATGTAAATGCCAGTGTTGTAAACCTGGAGCAGATCCGTGGAATGAGACCATATTTTAGCCTATACTTCTAATTTTAAACATATTTTACGTGAGCCAATAAAGAGCAGCTCTGGTAATGTTATTTATATGCCTCAGCACTGAATGATTGATAGCCTTTTCTGTCACTTTGAGCCTCATAATTTACTGTCATTGTTGAGGAATTAAAAAATATAAGTTGGTTAAAATCCCTGCTCCATATTTACTGCATAAATACTCCAGGTTTAGGCAGGTGAAACTTAGTTTACTTGATTTCACAGGAATTTTATCAGTGAAAAAAGTAACTCAGCTGTAGTACACTTTAAAAGTAATGCTCTCTTCATCATTTTTTAGACTACTGAGATTCTTAATTTGCAAATAGTTCTTTTAGATACCCTTATAATTTCTCTCCCAAATAAAATGGTGTGGGATTTGTTTATTTATTCTTATTCCAAATAGACTTCACTCATAAGTGGTGAAAGAAAAACAGGTTTCATGTTGTTTTCTAATTTTGTCTACTCAAGTTACAGCCTGCATCTCTTTGGCACTATCAGGATTTACAAAATTTTAATTAGAATTAGTTTAAGAAGCGTTAGATTTGAGATGATAACAATAATTATAAAGCTCCTGCTTTAAGTACTTTTTACTTATGCTTTAAGTGCCTTTATTTTTTTTCCTTTTTTTAGAATGAAACTTAATTGTTACATCTCCTGGGAATTAATTGCATAGAAGAATTATTTTATGTGGATCTTTCATAACTTCTTCTATACCCTTTAGCTTAATTATGATGTTCTGTTTTGCATATGAGCTGGGCAAAGAAGTTCTCCCTACGCACTTCCGCAATGCAAATGGCACCCTTATCCCTCTGATATCATTAATTGTGTTCTAGGATTTCAGCAGGCCAAGGCCACTGTGCTCAGGGATCATTTTCTGAGATCTTCTGCAGTGTTACCCATCGTATCTGTCTTGCACAGATTATGCTCGAGAGCAATGTGGTGACTTCTGATGTGTTTGACGTTCCCTACTTGTAACCTTAGACCACTATGTTAGGAAGCACTCTCACAGTAGACTTGAGGTCACAGATTCCTACTCCAATTCAAAAAGCTCTGCACTGTAGGCACAGTTCTGTTCCCACAGTTGTTTCTGTTACTAGGACTTTCTACATTCTAATAGTTTTTAGTCCTAATTCTCACAAGAGTGTGTCAGTAAAATTCTCTTTACTAAACTGGAATGCACAGTTCCTTTGGAGGGAACATCACATCCTTCCGCCTAACTGAAAGGAAGATCAGTTATTAGAGTGCCTAACTGAAAGGAAGATCAGTTATTAGAGTGCCTTCTAAATCATTTCCTTTAAGAGATGGCTGCTGATTGTGCGTCTGAATTTCAAATGCTCTCTTTTTCATGTAAATACTTTAAAGGAGTATTATCCACATAAGTCACAGGAGATACAAAAATAGTTCTTTGTCAAATCTCAATTTTAATTCATTTATGGACTAAAAGTAATTTCAGTAGTGATAATACTTTGGTAGCTATGATTATAGATAAAATGTAGAGACAGAGCTTGGAGTATAAGAATAAATCAGAATGGCCAGGTTGCTTTTTCACTATTTATTTTCATTTCTGTGAGACTGGCAAGTGAAACTAAATTGATCATAAAGTTTATTCTGCTGCTAGTCATTTCCCTTTCTGCTCATAGGCAGAAATGTTATTGCTTTTAGCTTCCCAGTATTTTAGGAGAATGGCTAGCCATTAGGATAAGGTGTGGGAGTTTGTTTCTTTAGTTAGACTAAGATATCGCTGTTTAAATTGAGCCAAGATTTAAAAAATCATCTCTTGGACTGCATGAAGTTTTACACATACAGTTCAGTGAATTACTTATGACACATTTGTAAGCATTTTAGGTTGACAAGTCAGGTAACTAGATGTCATGCTCACAGGCGATACACTTAAGGTCGGAAAACATTAAATATGTAAAATATGCTTGTGATAAAAAGCCTGCTGGTCTTTATGTTTACTGTTTTTTAAGAACTGAATAAGGAACTGTCAGTGTTCTGCTGCTGCTTAGGGTGTTTAGTTGGCAGATATTTGCTAGTTGCATCCTTAGTGGAGCACAATTTTGTCCCAAAGTGCAAGTAGTAGTTCAGGAAAGCAATTCATCAGTCAACCACCTTTATGAAATCCACCCTCAGTTCCCTCCCCTCTGTCTCCCAAGGACAATTATGTTTTCTGTAACTCTTGCAATGAAAGCTATTTCATATAATGCAAACGTGTGACCAGTCTGTGTTTAGAGACTGCATGAGGATTTTTGTTTCTGGCCATGCACAGGAGTGAGAAATGAAGGGGTCTTGGCTGCCTGCAGCTTTAGAAAAGGGGTTTTCTATAATCACCCTCTGTTGTAAAGGCAGGATTATTTGTATTTGTTTCATTTGGAAAAGGGCCTTTTTCACTTTCAACGAAATACTGTTGAGCACCTTCCTGCCATCCATTTGCTTTCCCCCCACAATGGCTCCAAGGAGAAATTAAGCCTTTGTAGGAATGGGAGTCTTTCAAAGGAGCATTTATGGGCCAAAGGAAAGATAACCAGATGGGCTGTCACCCAAGAAAATACAAATCAAGCCCCAGATCACACCCCAGGACTCTGCCATTGAGATTCCATAATGCCTGTTCAGGATTTCTGTTTATTTTTCAAAGAGGGAGATCATATATGGCTTGGCTTAAGCATTTCAATTTATGTTTCTGGCTGTCGGGGGATGCTGGCAAAAGATAAAACATCATCAGCTCATTTTCCATCAGTAGCGCTCTGTCATTTCATTAGGGCAGGAAATAGCTAGCTCCGTTACTGAGTGAATTTGACTTTAGCATGGATCAGAGAGAGGACCCCTAGAGTTAAACACATCCCCTCATGCCAGCTGTTCAGCATAAGACAGCAACGGCGTGTAGCCAAATGACCACCCTAGGATCTGACATGTGTTGGCATCACATGGTTTGCAAATGCAAGCAACATGGGAACATTTCCAAGGGAAGTGAGGTATTGGAGTCGGGGGGAGTGGGTGATTAAAGGAAGCTCTAGTGAGAGTAAGGATTTCTTTGGTGCTTGCTAAACAGTGAAATAAAGACTTGAATATTTTGCTGCAGTGGAACATAATTGTGGGTACTCAGATTCCACCACAGAGAGGTATAGTGTAGGAACATTGCTAGATGATATTGGTTTAATCAGAGTATTCATTTGAGAAGGAGTTTGAGTCAAAAGCTGCTTTCCAAAGATGACTTAGTGATATTCCCCAGAAGTCCTGCCAGTGAGATATTTATCCTCTCTCTTCTACAATTAAAGAGGCAAAGAAGACATGGCTACAACATTCCAGTGTTGGACTGGACTTCTTAAAAAGCTGAGCACTGAGGCTATGAGCCTGAAGTGCACATGCAGTGGGCATTGAAGAAGTTGTGATGGAGCTGTGTGTAGATTTGCAGTCCTGATTTTCTAATATTTCACCTTTTTTAACGGCATTATCTGATTTTTGAGAAAATCATTTTTCTTTGTAGCCTACTCATCAAGTCTTACCCTCATTCACAACGGTCCTTAGCATCTTAAGTTCCAGCTGATTTCAAGGTCTAGTTATCTCAGACTGCATACCAGGGAGGCAAAAAGGAGGAGGTCGATTCCAGTAAGAAAATATGTGAAAATATAAGCCCCAGACTCTGTGTTTCTTAATTTGCTTGTTGATAGACAATGACAGGGATTTTATTATGCTCAAACATTTTGTAGTAAAATGTTTCTAATTAGCAAAGGAAAGTGTGAAGGGAGAATTAGAATCTTAGATCAGATGATATAACTGTAGTGGAAGAAATCAGTCAAGCCTCCAGGTTCATACAGTGTTCTTCGGGGTGCTTCAAGGCTATCTAGTCCCCTGAGGAAAAAGCTTATATGCTTTGAAACCTGGCACACAAGCCTCTCTTATTTCTTCCCTTTTTTTTAATTTTTCTTTTAAACTTCCAGCAATTCTAATGAAAGATACTACCTCTCCATACATGCCAACTTTGCCTCATGTATCTGTTGATCCTCACACCAGATTGCTGTTGCAAATTAGACATTATTTTCTCAGGGCATCCTGGCAAGTCTGGTTTTAGGGAGGGTGTAATCTGAGAACCTGAGTTTATCCAATGTGGCAGGGCAATGCGCTGCTGCCAGTCCACATGCGTGGCCTCGTCTGGATTCAATTTTTAGATTAGGCTTTGCCTTCCAGTAGAGAGATCAGCAGGTACCTCTGCATGGATAGATGGGATAGTTGTTCATGATTTCTATACTGTCTGTTAACTTTTAGGAAGCTTGAGCTTATGTAACTGTCTTTTGTTTTTCTGAACAGATGCAGACTTTATATGCTTTTGATGAAGAAGAAACAGAAATGAAAAATAAAATAGTTGAAGACTTGAAGACAGCTCTGCGGACTCAGCCCATGAGGTAATGCTGTCCATCTTTCATCACGATTTACTTCTTCCCCATGGTCAGATGTGACATGGCAAAGAGTGGCGAAGATAGAAACCTCATTGTCTCAGCATACCCAATGCAAACCTTCTCTGATGGACAGTCCACAGAGGCTTGCAGACTCTGTTCTGAACCTGTCTACTTGGGACACACACACACACACACACACACACACAAATGCTGAAGCATAAAGCTTCAGGAAAATAAAAGACAAAGTCTGTTGTGAGAAGCCTTCAAAGGTTTATGCAAACACAGGTGATGTCTCTGGAGATCAGCCCTTTAGGTCTCATAGCCCCTTGAACCTCCCAAGGAATTTGATTAGTTATGGGCAAAATATCAGCCTTAGTGCTGAACTTTGAATTCAGGCCTTCCCTTATCTTCAGTAATGTGAAATGTTTGATACAGAGCAGCTAATCCATCTGACATCACCTAGTTTGGCATTATTCCTGCTTTATGTGTAACTGTGATATAGAGAAATGTTAAGAAAGCATTTGTTTTCTTAACAAATGTTAAGAAACACTTCATTGTGTACTACGTCTTTGAAGGTAAGGTCATCTTTGTTTTTCTGGGAACAATGCTTTGAACAATGCAAACTACCTAGCATAGAAACCTTTTGCATTTGACACTTAAGAGAGCAGCTTACAGAAATCATACCCATAGGTGATACATTTTCAGGAAATGCACAGTCAAAAAGATTCTGTATGTCTTTATATTAAGCCTGAAGTAGGTAAATGTGTTTGCATCCACACCATGATGAAGTCATAGCTTCAGAGGACTTCAGTAATGCTCAATCATGTATGTTTTCTGAAAGGAGGTAAAAATTAAGCATAAAATTACCTCAAAAGCTTCTTGTCTTTGCTAAGTGCTTTAGCTAACTGCTGAGTTGCTCAACTTTCCCCTTCATGATGTTTTAGTGAGTTTCTTCTTGACAAGAATAAAAAAAATGGGCTTGATAAAGGTAAAAAACTTTCAGTGTTCAGTGGACTTGCACCAGCTCAATCTTAATTGTAAGGACTAAAATGCCATGCAGAAGCCACTGGGGCCACTCCTTTAAATGGATATCCTTTTGTGGGAGGATGCTTTCTGAAAAAACTAGCAAGTGTGTATGTGTGTGTCTAGTTTCCTCAGTAGTATCAAATATTAGTATCCATAAAAGGTAACATGCAGTCCTTGGTTCTATTAATTTCATTTACTACAGGGACTGGATTCTTTGCAATTTCAACAGAATGCAATTGCTTGCCTCTCTCTACTCTGAGAATCTTTCACTCAAAGCTACTGAAAAGAAATGGGGCACAATAAGAAAGCACTTGGAGAAGAAGTCCTGGTTTACAAAGATGCTCACTTCTGACAGTCAAGCCTCCTCTACAGTTCAAAGACAAATGTGAGGCAGACTGGGGGTGCTCTAGGAAGCTAAAGCTCCTTTCTACAACCAGCAAGCAAATATAAAGGCCACCGTCATGGTCCCTCCCTTCATGTGGTTTAGTGGATGTTGAGGTACTATGTGAACTCTAACTGATAAATGAATAAGAAAGACAAAAGGTAGTTGCTGAGGTGGAAGCAAGTCTCTAGCTTGCAGATGAACCTGTGCTAACATTTAGTTACTATCTGACCTCATTTGATATAACCTACTGTTCTCTGTGGTAATAAATTTGTAGTTGGACCTTTATTGTAGGGGGCAGAATGTTCTCTTTGAGCTCACACATGTAAATGTAGTTCTGCAGCTCAGTAGATTACTCCACTTTAGCAGAGCTTTCAGTATTGACTGCGTGCAGCTTCAGCACATCAGCTTGAACGTCTATGCTTTGCCTTCCATCGTAATGGTCTGAAGAGAGCAGAAAGCC